ATCTTTCAATGTAGGGTAATCACTGCTTGATCCAAGGATAAATCTGACTGCCATTCTGGGGTCAAGAAGGAATTTATTTCCTAGCTTGTTGCAAAATTGTGCCTCAAATTGGGTTTTTTGCCTTCTTTTGGATCAACAGCAAAAAACAAATGTGAGGAAGGCTGAGCAAGTCTCTTTTAAGCTATGTAACTATGTCCAAGAGGTCACAAAATATATCATTAATAAAGTACTGAAAAGTGGCAGGAGCATTGCAAAGTCCAAATGGCATTACTAGATATTCATATAAGCCATACCTTGTACAAAAAGCAGTTTTCAATTCATCTCCATCTTTTATTCTGATTAAGTTGTTTGCTCCACGGAGGTCAAGTTTTGTATAAATGGTGGCCGTTTTCAGTCGTTCAATCAATTCAGAAATTAATGGAAGAGGATATCTATTTTTTATAGTTATTTTATTTAGCGCACGGTAATCAATGATGGGACGAATAGTTTTACCCTTGTTTTTGACAAAGAATATAGCAAATGCAGCGGGAGAAGTAGATGGTCTAATGAATCCTTTGCGCAGATTTTCTTCTAGGTATTATTTAAGAGTCTTTAGTTCAGGTTCAGAAAGTGGATATATAGGCCCAAAAGGTATAGCAGCTCCAGGTAAAAGATTAATAGGACAGTCGTATATCCTATGGGGAGGAAGGATTCAGCTTCAGTTTTATTGAAGACATCTTTAAATTCATTATAGTGTACAGATATCTTTACTTCATCAGTAATTTGAAGTAAAGGGAAGATGAGGATAACAATTTTCATTTCAAAATTTGGATATGAAGTACAGAGATAGGAGAATACTGATATGACTGTTGTGAAGTTGTAACCAGTTCATGCCAAGTATGATGGGGAATAAAGGTGATTTCACGATGTCAGATTTTAAATATGTATTGTGATTAATTTCAGTAGTCATTTTTAGAGGGATGGTTTCATCTTTAATAGGACCAGATTAAATGGTTGAACCATCTACCTCTCTAATAGAGATAATGGTTTTTAAAATGTAAGGAATTTTATTTTTTGAAACTATAGTTGAATCAATAAATGTTCAAGCAGCACCAGAATCAATGATAGCTTCAGTTTGAATCCTTTCTATATCCCACTGTAAAATGATAAGGACAACACAATGAGGAGTTGGTTTAGGAAATGCATTCAATATGTTGTATTAAAGTTTTTTCTTACCACTCTTTGCATTTTTTAGGAGAGCACAGGTCTTCAGGAGATGTTCCTTTGAAGCACAGTACATACAAAGATTAAGGTTTCTTCTTTGTGCTTTTTCTTCAGGGGTGAGAGGATTTCTAAATACACCCAACTCCATAGGTTCAGATGAGTGGGGTGTTTTGCCAGTGGTTCTTGAAGGACTTGTAGGTTTTTTTCATACTAGAATACTTGGTAGCTTTTTCTGCAAGTCTTTCTCCAATTCTCCTGTCAATGGGGTTTTTTTTTTTTCGTTTAAAAAAAAAAAAAAATTATTGCAGTTTTGTCAGAGATACAACAGCATTTCTTAGACAGAGTGGTTCATTCAGTCAACATGACAGGGTATTGAATATTTTCATTTGTATATTGTACATATCAGCATTCTGTATGGACTATGTTCGAACAGTTGTGTGGTATGGTCTGTGAATGGCCTGAACTTCGTGTTTCAGTCATCAGATAGAGTTATTTCGTAGGAACTGGACCCATGGGTCCCAGATATGTGTGTATTCCTGGTACTGATGTGTTAGTGAGTAGCATGTCTCTTCCAGGTTTCTGATAGTTTCTACCTTTTGTAACCATTCCCGTGTAGTGGGTGCATGTGGCTGTTTCCAAAGGGCTGGGATGAGTTGATTGGCTGCTGTGATGAGATGTATCAAAAGTGTTCTCTCATGTTTATGCATTTCTAGGGGTGGAAGGAGAAAGATGTATGTATCTGGGTGTAGTGGGATGTGCATCCTGAGGATCTTGTATAGTGCCCCTGAAATGCGTGTCCAGTATTTGCGGATCTCGGGACAGGTCCACCATATGTGTGTGGTTGTGCTTTCGGTTTGCTGGCATCTCCTGTCTCGGGACAGGTCCAGCATCTGTCTACGGTTGTGGGGAAGAGACGATGAAGTTTCGACGGTGTGTAGTGCCACCTGGCTATCCGTTTATAGTTGCTTTCCTGTGCTATTGTATTTCTCGAGGTTTTGTGTATTTATCTGAAAATCTGTTTCCATTTGTTTTTGGGTATCTCTATCTGTAGTTCTCTTTCCCAAGTGGTGGTGAACGTTGGTAGGTTGTGGGTGGTTGTTGCTTGGATAGTAGTGTACATTAGTGAGATGTGTTTCTTTTTGATATCTTGTTTGGAGCAGTGGAGTTCAAATGCTGTGTGTGGTCGGCTCTGTCCCAGTGTTAGTGGTACTGAGTGTATGAAGTGCTTTAGTTGGTTGTATTGGAATTTTTGTATTGCCGTTGGGGATTCGATAAGGTCATGTATTGGTTTGATCTGTTGTTCCCCAGATTCAACTAGTATGTCTTTCAGCGTAAGGTATGTGCTTCTGTAAAAAGGGTTTTAGAGCCTTGCCATCTACCCCTGGTTGGAAGAGTGGGTTATGTGAGATCGGGTAGAGTGGGGGCAGATGAGGTGAGATTTGGTCGTTGGGCTTGAGGGTCTCCCAAATGCGCAGAGTGGGTGTGATCGTGGGATGCGGGCCTTTTATCAGTAGTGGTTGTCCTGTTTTGTGCCATGGTATTGTGTATATGGGTGCTCGGAAAAAAGTGTCTTCGATGGTTACCCATTGTTTTACAGCGTTTGTGCATGACCAGTCATAAAGTCTGGTCAGGTGAACCGCTTTATAGTATCTGCTTATATCTGATAGGCCTAGGCCCCCCTCATCTTTCGGACGTGTGAGTAGTGTATGTGCTAATCGCGGGCTTTTGTGGGACCAGATGTAGTTTGTGAATAGTTTGCGTATTGTGCTGAACCATGCCTTCGGTATTGTTATGGGAAGTACTTGAAGCATATATAAGATCCTGGGCAAGACATTCATTTTTAGGATGCTTAGCCTGCAGAACCATCCAAATTGTGGCTTATTCCAGGCTGTAAGATCTGATTGGATTTCTTTTTGTAAGTTAGGGAAGTTGCTTTCGAATAGGCGTGTTGTATCCCTAGTGATGTGTATCCCTAGATATTTAATGCTATGGGGGGCCCACGTAAATTGATATTCATGTTTCAATGTTGTTGCGATGCGTGCCTGCACGTTTATTGGGAGGATTTGCCTTAAAGTTGGATATATTACTGTATGTATTAATTTCTTCCATCAGGTGTGGGAGTGAGTCTAGCTGGTGTGTGATTGAAAAAAGCATATCGTCCGCAAATGCTGCTATTTTATGGTTTTGTTGTCCCGTATGAATGCCTCTAATGTTGATGTTGTCTCATATGCCCTGGAGGAATGGTTCCAGGACAACCACAAAGAGGAGGGGGGAGAGGGGACACCCCTGCCTAGTGCCATTTGAGATTGGCACACTATCTGAGAGTTGTCCATTTACCCTAATGGTGGCTGTGGGGTTTGAATAAATTGCTTTAATCCATTTTAGCCAGTTGGGTCCGAAGCCTAGGTATTGGAGCGTGTATAGCATTAGAGTCCAATCTACTCTGTCAAATGCTTTTTCCGCATCAATGGATAAGAGTAGACAGGATTCTTCCGAGCGTGTGGCTTGGTGTACTAAGTTTATGATTTTCGTGGTATTATTTTTCGCTTCCCTACCGGGCACGAAGCCTGCTTGGTCTGCATGTATAATCCCCGGCAGTAGGGGGCGGAGCCTGTTGGCCAAGATTTTTGTAAAGAGTTTGAGATCTATGTTTATTAAGGAGATCGGTCTATAACTACCGCACTGGGATAAGTCTTTGCCTGGTTTCGGGATAAGTGTGATTGTAGGGTTTAGTGCTTGAGGGGGGAGTGAGGTGCCCTGAAGAAGGGAGTTAAAAGATTTTGTAAAGTGTGGGATGAGGGTGGTGGCGTATGTTTTGTAGTATTTCGTTGTGAACCCGCCCGGGCCTGGACTTTTCCCTACCGGGAGGAGTTTGATCGTGTTACGGCATTCTTCCGTCGTGATTGGGTGGTCTAGTGTTTCACTCAAATTGTTCGGTAGTGTAGTATGTATCCTGTTTGCTAGGAAGCTTTGGATGTCCCGTGTCGATGGGGGGGTTTGTAGTAGGTTGTATAAGGAGTGGTAATAGTCCTGAAAAGCTGTGGCGATGTCTGTTACTAGGTGGGAAGTGTTCCCTTTTTTATCCTTTATGGATGGTATGAAAGTGTTTTCTCTCTGTTTTTTAAGGGCGTTGGCTAGTAAACGCCTGCTCTTCCCTCCTTGTGCATAGTATAGGCTACGTGTTTTTGCGATGGCGTATTTTGTGCGGATGTTTAAAATGGTGTTGAGTTCTGTGCGTTTCTCTAAAAGTCTTTTGTATAGGGGTAGCGTGTCGTTTCGGGCATGGGTTTCCTTTAGTTCTCTGATGTCTTTGGTCAGTTGTGTAACTTGTGTCTCGCGTTGTTTTTTGTGTCTAGAGGCTATTTGTATGATTGTTCCTCTAATAGCACTTTTATGCGCTTCCCATATGATGGGGTATGGTGTGTCTGCTCTTGTATTTATTTCAAAATAGTGAGCCAAGTGTTCATCTATTTGAGTTCGTATTGCTTGATCGTTGAGTAGGTTGTCGTTTAGTTTCCACTGTGCCCTAGTGGGGTGGAGGGTGGGGATTGTTATCGACATTGACAGTGGGGCATGGTCTGACCATGTTATGGGGGCGTATTCACAGGTCTTGATTAGGTTCAGGAATCTATGCGGAGTAAAGAGCATGTCTATTCTAGAGTATGTTTTCGATGAGTGTGAGTAAAATGAGTAGTTTCTGCTATTGGGGTGAGTTATACGCCAAGTGTCGTAGAGTTGGTGCGTGTCCAGGAGTTTTTGTATTTGGTGCCTCGTTGAGGTCTGATATGATTGGGCTTGAGAGGTGGTGTCCAGTGTCCCATCTAGTGAGATGTTAAGGTCCCCACCCAGTATTAGTAGACCCTCTGTAAACGTTTCTAATTTATGAAGTATTTTGCGAAGAGCGGGGGTTTGTTTCCTATTTGGGAGGTATACGTTAGCTAGGGTTGCTGTAGTATTCCCTATTTATCCTTTTAGAAAGATGAATCTACCTCCCTCATCTGAGTAATGATCTTTGTACGTGAAGGGTAGTTGCGAGGAGAGTAGGATCGCAACTCCCCTTGATTTTGAGCCTCTATAGTTGCTGAAGTAGCCGTTGGTGTAGTGTTTTGATTTGAGACTGGGGGCTGAATCTTTACGGAAGTGTGTTTCTTGTAAATAAATTATGTCTGCTTTTTGCCTGCGGTAGTCCGCGAGTGCTTTGTGACGTTTCTCGGGCTGATTGAGGCCCCTAGCGTCGTGTGTTAACATTTTTATGGTTGTCATTGCTTTGCAGTAAGACGTGTTGTGTTGTGGTATTCGTGTGGTCCCTGTGTTGTGTGCTTGGGTTTGTATTGTAGCCTGATTCGACTAGAGTTCGTGTTCTGCACGTTTTGACCTTATGTTCAGCAAGTTCATACAGACATATACAATACACAGCTGTACAGTAGTTATCTTTGTAAAACAATAATTATAGAACAGTAGTTAATACAGTTTGAATTAAAACAACAGTTACGTATAAACCTAGAGACCGTCCGTATTTCCCTTCTGGTTTTCCTGTGGATTGTCGGTCAACTATATACAGTGGTGTGATACAAGTGTGTATCTAAGAGAGTGGGACTTCCCAGGTCGGAGGGGTGGCACTCTCCGGTGGGTGTAATTCACTGGTGTCTGCCCCTGAGATGTCCCTGTATCTGCAGTGGGCTATGTTGTAGCGACACCGTGTTTCGTGTCAGGGGTGGTGTGTCTGCGTTGGTGTATAGTGTAAGTATTGGTTGGTTGTCGTCTATCGGTGAGACGGCTTTGTGTTGTTTATGGTTTCTGTTATTATCTACTTTTTTGTGGTGGTGCTATTAATTGGTCGGGTGGAGCTTGCGGGTGAGATCACTCGTTTCGTTTGTCTATTTGGAAGAGGATATTTGTGTGAAAGAGTTTGGATGCAGTGGTGTGTGGGGAATGTGTGGTCACCTGTGCATTTGGTGTGCATTCCCAGATGGACTTTGTGCTGTATGATTGGTGGTGGTTGTCTTGTATGGTTAATTTTTGCATTCTTTTTGTGTGGGCCTAGCGTCTCTGTAGGGTTGTCTAGTTTAGGAGATTCTTTGTTTTGTGTGTCTGAGTGTCGTCTGTGGGAGTCGGCCTAGTATTGCTCATTGTCTTGTGATTCCGGTCAGGAGTGCGTGGGTCGTGTGTGACGTCTAAGTTATAATGCACAGATAAATGTGGTCCCTCTCAGGGTTTGCGTCTCGCCCTCTTACTATCTGTGCTTTAGACCCCGCATGGTGTTACAGCCTAAATATCTTTAACACAAACATGAAGTCAGTATAAAAATTATACGACCTGCGCAGGAATGTCTCGACTTTTTTTTTTTTTTTTTGGTGTTCAGTCTCTAAGTCCTGTTTTCAAGTTTTTCGGCTTTTAACATCCCATTCTGTATGCGTTGCCTGCCACGGATATTGTGTGTCCCTTGGCCCTTATCGGTATGTTCAGTACCGTATCAGTCCCATCTTTTTGTGTCTTGTGAGTTCCATTTCGTCCATCTGGGAGTTTCTCAGGTGTGTGGCTTATTCATCCCTGGGTCCTCTGGTTCGTCTGTCATCCCTCTGGGGAAGGCCGTTCTGTCCTATTCTTTGCCTCTTCGATGGTGTACGCCAATTGTGTCCATTAGGTTGTGCATCAAGCGTGACAGCTGGGTCCGGGGCATACCAGTTTGCTATATTAACCCTTGTCAGGTTCAGAGCTTCGGTGAAAGGGATGACGTCCTGGTGTGTGCGATCGTGTAAGTCGACCCTTTTAAGCCTACAATCAAGGCAAAGGGGAATCCCCATCTGTAGCATATGCTACGTGCTCTTAATTGGTCTGTGATCGGCCGTAGTGCTCTTCTTGCCTGGAGAGTGTACCAGGATAGATCAGGGTATATCTGGATTTCGTGTCCTTGGTATAATAGTGGTGAGGACGTGTCTCTTAGTGCTCTTAGGATGTCATCCTTTAGGGTATAGTAGTGGATGCGGCAAATCACGTCACGTGGTGCCTCGCTCGTGCCATTTTTAGGTCGTAGGGATCTATGTGCCCTATCTAGTACCACTGGGGCGTCCGGAGAGCGGTTTAGTATAAGGTTGAATAAGGTGGTTAGCTGTACCTTTAAGTTTTCTTTGTCTGCCTCTGGGATCCCCCTAATGCGTAAATTGTTCCTTCTGCCCCTATTATCTATATCATCCAATGATCTCTGTAACATGGATAAATGCCTTTCTTGGATTGTGAGTGCTTGGGTGAGATCTTGTATTTGTGTCTGACATGAGCCCCTGTCATCTTCCAAGTCCCGTACCCTAATGCCTACCTGTGTGATTTCTGAGCTCAGGCCCTCCATTTTGAGTTGGAAGGCAGTTTCCAGTTTTCCTAGCATTTGTGCTAGATCTAGTCTGGACGGCAGGTTTTTCAAGATGTCTTTGATGTCCACGTCCGCAGAGGCTGATGAGGCTTCTGACTGAGCAGGGCTTAGTGGTTCGGAATCTGTGTGAGTTGCCGCCGGCGCCATGTTGGATTCCCCAGTGACTGCCGCGCGGTCGGCATAATCTTTAAACAGACGGGTGACCGAGCCCGGTTTACCCGCTGGTGGTTTCTCCTGTGGTTGGTGAGGGGTTTGGTTACGTTTGTTGTTCCCCATCTCGGGTATAATCCTCCTTTTTTGTGCGATCTCTGCCCATTTTGCTCGGAGCCGGTTTAGTGAGCAGCCATTCAGGTCGGCTGCAGGACACGGCCCCCCGTCAATGGGGTTTTATGAGGTCCCCCTCTCATAATATTGTAAAGCGCTACGGAATCTGTTGGCGCTATATAAATGGCAATAATAATAATAATAAAAGGTCGTCCGTCCAATGTTCAGTACGTGAGAGTTCATCCTTGGCAGTATCTGAGAGACCTAAATGGAATTTATTTTTTAAAGGAATATTGTTCCATTGAGTTTCTAATGCCCATCTTTTAAACTCTGCAATATAATCTTCCACTGGACGTTTACCTTGTGTAAGACTACTAATTTTCATATCCGCAGTGGCTTGCTTATTTGGATCCTCATATAAAAGGGCCATGGCTTAAAAAAAATTCAGTGATGGAATTAAGTATAGGGTCGTTGTTTTCCAGGAAAGTGTGTGTCCAAGCCATTGGTTCAGCCCTAAGAAAGGAAATGACTGCATAAACCTTTATTTTGTCATCAGGATAGGACCTTGGTTTTAGAGTAAATAGTAAATTGCATGAATTATAAAATTTTCTGTATTTAGAACAATCACCCCCAAAAAATTCAGGGCAGCAAGCTACAGCTTCAAATGAGTCTTGATGAGCAAAGATACTAGGTGGGGTTGTAACAATGTGATTTTGGATCTCCCTAATATAATTAAGGAGCCTTTCATTAGTAATTTGTAGATCTTGCATTCCTTGTGTTAGGAATTCAACTCTTTGAGTCCGTGACAATATTTGAGTATTAAATTCTGCTGGTTCCATTTTGTAGGCTCAATCAATATGAAATACTTTTAGAAAAAAATAATTTGGAACACAACTGTAGATGAAAGAATAAATCTGATACTGTCACTTTAAGAAGTTATAATTTATCGAATTTTGGTATTTATACTTTTTATCCTTCCAAATAAACATAAGACTTGAGCCAATTATTAGTCCCAGTAACTGGATAATTTATCTTGCTTTCTTTGGATGATGAGCATAGAAGTGCTTTCCAGAATTAGAGAAAATTTATAACAAAATTAGCGTAATTTTCTTTTCCTGGCTATTTCTCATGGCAGCATCACTTATGGGTAGCTCCTCCCTTAGCAGTCACAGGACAGGAATTAATTAGATTAATAGATTAATTAATTAGACTGATAGGTATAAAGGATAGCAAGAACAAACATAGATATAAGGATGCGTTTTCTCTTTCTTTCTCTGATAGGTATAAAGAGTCCCTCCTCCCCTTACACACCTCAGTCCAATTATAAAGCTGAAAAAAAAAAATCAAGAATGGGCAGGAACCCTGATGCTGCCATGAGAAATAGCCAGGAAAAGAAAATTACGGTAAGTTTGTTATAAATTTTCTCTATTCCTGGCTAATCATGGCAGCATCACTTATGGGTAATACCCAAGCTCACGGAATTATAGGGTGGGAACAATAAACTGAGAAAACAGACTCTTATGCTGCAAAGAAATTTTAATATCAGTGGGATAAAGAAACTGTAGACAGGACACTCTTCCCAAAGGAGGTGGAAGGAGAGTCCACATCCAGTTTGTAGTGTTTCAAGAACGTCATCGGGGAAGACCATGTGGCTACCCTGCAAATATCATCTTATGGAACCTCTGCCCAATTAGCCCATGAAGTCGACAAAGCTCTAGTAGAATGAGTTCTTATCTTCATTGGAGGCGGCCAACCTTTCGAGACATATGCATTCCTGATAACCAGTGAAATCCAACCTTTCAATGTAGATAACGAAGCCGCTTCACCTTTACTGGCTCCCGACGGCAAAACAAAGAGTTGGTCAGTTTTTGGAAAGACTCAGAACACTTAAGGTTACAGACAGGCAGTTCATGACATCCAAACGTTGCCATCTAACCTCCTCTTGCGAAGAAGGATTGGGGTAGAACGATGGAAGAACCACTTCTTGAGAGAGATGAAACTGAGAGACCACCTTAGGAAGAAACTCAGGTTTTAGCTTCAGGCACACCCTATCATGATAGAATTGTAGACAAGAAGGTAAGGTAGAAAATGCTTTAATCTCCGAAATCCTTCTTGCGGAAGTAATTGCCACCAAAAACAAAGTTTTATGCGTCAGGAGGGTAGCATCCAAACTCTCAAGAGGAACAAACAGATCCTCCGTTAGGTAATTGAGCACCAGAGGAAGGTCCCAAGGAGGGGTAGTAGATCTGAAAGGAGGTCTCAACCTGAAAGCCGCCTTGAAGAACCTGGAGATCAAAGGATTCGAAGTCCAAGATACGTTGCACAAAGCCGAAAGCGCCGAGGACTGGACCTTGAGAGTGGTGAGGCTAAGGCCCATATCCAGACCCTCTTGCAGGAACTCCAAGATCTCCGTTTTGTGAGGATGCAGGAAATCAACATTCTTGGCCGAAGCCCATTCCCGGAACACATCCAGGATCCTATGGTAGCATGAGGAAGTAGATGCTTTCCTTGATTGCAAAAGAGTATTGATCACTGCTTCTGGGAGACCTAGTAGTTGAAGTCTTTCTTTTTCCAAGACTCACACCCCCAACTTGAGGCGTTCTGGATGAGGATGGAATATTGGGCCCTGCATTAGTAGATCCTCCATAACAGGAAGAGGCCAAGGCCGTTCTTGGCTCATCACAGACAATAGGGGGAACCACGGTCTCAGAGGCCAAATCTGAATTAAGGCAATCACCTTCATTCCTTCTGACCAAACCTTCCGTAAGAACCTGGGTATCATGGGTAGGGGAGGGAACGCATACCCCAGATCGAATGACCAAGGAAGAGAGAGAGCATCCTGGCCCAATGCCTGACTGTCCGGGTGGAGGGAGAAGTAATTCTCCACCTGATGATTCCGGGAGGATGCCATCAGGTCGATCTGGGGCATGCTCCACCGACGAGCAATCCATGCAAAGACTGCCAGGTGACGTTTCCATTCTCCTGGAAGAATTTCCTTTCTGCTGAGAAAGTCCGCAGTCATGTTCTCCGAACCTGGAAGATAGATCGCCTTCAGACCTTGTAGATTGGTCATGGCGATAGTCATCAAGGGAGCCAGCTCCTTCAAGAGCAATCTGCTTCTCGTGCCACCTTGGTTGTTCACATATGAAGCCACCGCTCGGTTGTCTGTTTTGATCAGCAACCAAGAATTTAAGATCTGCGGGAGGAACACCACGATGGCCCTGGTAACAGCTCTCAGTTCTCTTAGATTCGAGTGTAGCTGACTCTCCTCTCGGGTCCACTTCCCTTGAGCCATGCGGTATCGAAGTGGGTACCCCAACCAAAAGAACTGGCATCTGTTGTAATAACCTTCCAAGGAGGTTCTTCCAACGGGAAGCCTGTCGCTAAATTCTTCTTGTTCTTCCACCAGGTCAACCCTTTCCTCACGGGTAGGGGTAAGGAGATCCTTTGCTCCCAATCTGTTCCCACTCTGTCGAACTGGAGAAGGAAGCAATTCTGGACCGGATGAAGCTTCCACTGGGCCCATTTCACCAGCCCTATAGTTGATGTCAAAGAACCCAGGAGACTCATAACTTCCCTTGCAGAGGCAGTCTCGAGACTTTGTAGCTTCCCTACTTTGTCTCTGATTTTTGTAACCCTTTCCGGAGACAGGAACATATGGGCAGATATGGTGTTTATCACTGCTCCGAGGAATACGATCGTCTGAGAAGGAATCAGGGAGCTTTTCTCCACGTTCAGAAGCCAACCGTGGTCTTGAAGAACTTTCATTGCCACCAAAGTGTGATGAGCTACTATCCTGTGAGATGGACCTATGATAAGGATGTCGTCCAAGTAATGGAAGATCTCGATACCTTTCTCCCTTATGAAGGCTATTAAAGTGACAAGAACTTTTGAGAACGTTCTCGGCGCCAAGCTGAGGCCAAACGGAAGACCCCAGAACTGGAAATGCCTTCATAGCGCCCAGAACTTGAGAAACTTCATATGTTCGTGGTTTACAGGGATTTGGTAGTAGGCGTCCCTCAAGTCTATGGAGGTCATCCAGTCTCCTCTTTTGACACTCCTCAAGATGGACCGTAAAGATTCCATTTTGAATGTTCTCTCGTTGAGCATGGAGATTACACCCTTCAAGTTCAGGATGAGACGCCACTTTCCCTGGGGTTTTGGAGCCAAGAACACTGTGGAGTAAACCCCCAGGAATCGTTCCTGTCTGGGAACTCTTCCACCACTTTTTGGTCCAGAAGAGAAGAAATGCAGGTCCTCATGGCCCTTCGTTTGATGCCTGCCGATACTGTAGATTTTATGAAGAAAGCGGTTTTTGGGTGAGAGGAAAACTCTATCCTGTAACCTTCCTTTATAATGGATGTGACCCACACGTCCTTAATGTTTTTGGCCCACACGGGGTAGAAGAACTTCAGTCTTCCTCCCACAGTTCCCGAATGGGCCTGAAGACCTTCCCCTCTTCCCCTGGAAGCTTTATTGGAAGAAGAGTGTGAGAAGGATTTCCATGAGGAATTTCTGGAATACTCCCTTCCTGGTTTATAGCTTATGCTGTCCCGAAAGGACCGATCCTTGAAGCGCTTATTCTTCCAAGAGGAGGTAAAGCTCTTCCTGCTTACTTGAGGCAAACATGCTTTTTTCCCCTCAGCAGCTTTTTGAATAGCTTCCTCCAGGACCTTGCCAAATAGGAGATCCCCCTGGAACGGAAGGCCACATAAGGATGCCCTGGAGGCATAGTCCGCTCCCCACGAATGAAGTCACAAGGCCCTTCTAGAAGCCACAGACAGGGCCATACTCTTGGCAATCATGCGAGTGATGTCTAGGGAGGCTTCTGAACAGAATTCCGTGGCCAAGTTAAAGTCTTTGAGGCTCTCCAACAGATGTTCCCTACGGACACCCCGATCAATGTCCTCCTCCAAATTTGTGAGCCACACTCTTAAGGCCCGGGAGAGAGTGGTCAGAGCCACTGCCGGGTGAAGGGCGGAGCTCAGGGCCAAGTAGGCTTTAATCAAATCACCATCCATACGCTTTTCCATAGGCTCTCTGAGATATGCCATGGAGTCAATAGGAAGCGTAGTTTTCTTTGCCATATGGATCACGGCAGCGTCAATCTTAGGAACTGAATCCCATAGGCAGCAGTCCACGGCAGAAAAAGGATAGATCCTCGTGAATTTATTTTTCAAGGTGGATTTCCTTTCTGGCTTATTCCATTCTTGAAGGATTATGTCCCTGATAGAGGAATGCACCGGGAAGGTAGTTTTAGGTCAGTTTTAGGTCCTCAAAGAACCTGTCAGCCTCTCTTAATACAGACTCTTCTTCCGTGAGACTAAGAGTGCCTCTGAGAAGGGTAATAAGCCTATCAATAGACTTCAAGTCAAGAGACCTGGAGGTATATTCAATTTCCTCCTCACCATCATCCGAGACCTCCCATACATCAGGGTCTTCTCCAGAGCTGGAAGACTGAGGTTCTGCTCTGCATCTCTTACTCGGACCACTAGACACCGTGGTGGACTTAAAGCCCTCAGCAATAGCTTGGGAAATCCAGAGCTTAAGGTCGTCTTGTGGGGAACTCCCACTGGGGGCATCTGCCGCTTCCAATAAGCATTCCCTGCAAAAGTTCCTCCCATGTGGAGCAGGTGACGAACAATTGATGCATTTGTTGGACTTTTCCCTTGATTTCCTTGCTGGAGAATCCAGATGCTTGTTGGGGCTGAAATAAAGCCATATATAAACATATATTACAGGCTCAGTCAATCTTTTAACAACCCCCCCACAAAAAAAATAAAAAAATCAGTGGCTCACCTATGTTTTCTAGAGAGGGATCTTGCAGAGGCAGAGGGAGAATCCATACTAAAAACGAGAATCAAAGGAAAGTCAAAACACCATTCCCAATAAAAAATGACCAGAGGCAAACTGACAAGTAAAAAAAATTTTTTTTTAAAGACAACAAGACACACAGAAGAACTAGTAATCATACCTATAATGACAGACAAACCTCCAGGCAGCCAAGAACAGCAGCAAAGGAAGGACTGCAGAGCAACCAGGACTGAAGGTGCAGCAGAACAGCTGATGCAGAGCACAGGCAGAGTGCCTGTATCAATCAGTTTAAATAGAGGCCGGAATGTCGGTCCGCGCATGCGCAGGCCGCTGGAACGCACGCCACGCGTTCCAAACGCTCGCGGGCCGGAAATACATCACTTCCGGTTCGCCGGCCCAGCCGCGACGTCATAATGTAGTAAATGCCGGCCATACCAGGAGCCCCCAGGCAACAACCCAGGGCACCTCTGCTGCAGCAGAAAGGGACAGACCCCCATGAATCCAAGACAACAGTACCAAGTAAGCAAAACAGGCTCCCCCACAGGAGGAACCCCATAGTATGGATTCTAAACACTGCCACCAATGCGGGGGATATTTTAGACCCCAATTGCTAGGGGCAAGACAACAGCAAGGGGAATTTTTAAGGAGGACCAACCCCATATGCCCAGATTACCTGTAGCCGTGTTTCCCCCAGAACACCAAATCCCACGCTGCAGTTCAGTACTTACACTGAACCTGACTTAGTTAGTCCTGCTCATGCAGGCTGTTTACTGGGTCCTTCAAATGAAGAGAGGCTGAACTTCATTTGGAACGAACCCACGACAAACGCAGGAAGGTGGCCAGAAAACAAAATGTAAAAAGTCCTGTAGAACTTGCTAAGGACAGGAAAAAAGACTGAGGTGTAAGGGGAGGAGCGACTCTTTATACCTATCAGTCTAATTAATTAATCTAATTAATTCCTGTCCTGTGACTGCTAAGGGAGGAGCTACCCATAAGTGATGCTGCCATGATTAGCCAGGGAAGTGTGGATTATGGTTCCCTGTAGTAAATGGAGGAATTTGTGGTGAAGTCTGTTCCTAATCTGGGAGTGGAGAAGTCAACGTAGTCAGGATCAAGCAAGAGAGGTTCAGTACACATGTAATCAAATTGAAGAGCTCTGTCGGCAATCAGCAACAAAGTAACAAGGTATGTGAGAGGCACAAATTGATTGAGCAATTTGGATGCGGCCACAGCTTCCTTTTGAAAGGGAAGCGTGTGACGTCAGACGCATAGGTGGAATCGGATGGGCAAAACCCAGAAATCATACGGGTAATGCTGATCGGAAGGAAGATATGGGAGTTTCCTGACACACAGATACAATATTAAATGTAAAAAAAAAAAAGTTAATGTTAATAAAAGTACATTAATATAATCACTAAACCATGAAGTGTTAAAAAAAATAAAAACAATTTTTTTTAAGAGACAATAAAAAGAAGAGTTTTGTGTAGATTTTAAACTTTTTAATCTAAAAAGTATAAATATGCATAAGGAAGAGGCAAGACATTGAAGGCAGCACATGTTGTCGGGGGAAGGTCAGGGAGGAACAAAGCCCAGAGGAGATTTGTCAGAGGAGAATGCCCAATTAGAACTGGTAGGAAGAATAGTAACAATCAAATGAAACAGAGAAAATTATAATGGCCTAGGAAATGCATCAAATTAGTTTATATTCTACTTGCAGATGTGCAAATCATCATCCCTTCTGTACAACCTCCGCGCACGTTCTTCCTCAACTAGGTCATTCAAGCCAGCAAGGCTTATGCTCAAACTGTGAGCAAGTTGAACACGCCGAAGAATGCAATCTTCCTCCCATAACTCCACTAGGTGCTTTAGACTATTGTCAATAGAAGACAACGTTGACTTGATTGACCCAACGTCCATATTAACAGCACTGGCAAAAGTAGTTAGCTGTGTCATTACCATCTCTAATGACTTCTTCTGTCTGTCCCTATCCTGTAGTACAGAATTTTCCAATTCTGACTGTTGTGTCTGGAGAATGTTGTAAAGTGCAGCCATGTTGGGTGACATCTGAGGAAGCTGTGGAGTCTCTATGGCCACAAATGTCGACTCCTGCTTCACGGAAGTGGGATCCACTGCTATCTGAACAATGGTTTGTGCCTCGTCATTTTCCTCACTCATGGGAACATTGGTGTCTAAATGGTAGACAAAAAAAAATGTTAGCATCCATATAGGAGTTTATGTTAATACTCATTAGCTAAGCCCTGCACTTCAGTGATTAGCTCAATGTAGAAAGTACCTGACTCTTACAGGGGATGACCAGCACCAGGCAAAACTGTTTGACTACTTACATTAGAAGGCATCCGATCACTCCTGTTGTGAGTCTTTAGATGCTACACCACTGGGTAATAGAAAGCCAATCCTATCTTACTACTTAGCAGTAACTGTATCATATGTACCACAACACGAAGGTTATATTTAACATTATGAATGCAGGATTTTTGTTTGACCCACAATAGGCGAAGCTAATTCTACATAAAATCGCATTCTGTTTACAAGTGCATGCAAAGACTGTGAAATTATTAGTTTAAATCTCATGTTACGAGAACAGTGCATGTTTATAATTGTATTCCATTGTACAACTGTATATTATTATAAGATGACAAGGAGATATTCCTGACTTGAGTTACTTATACCCAGCAGCAGATGCCTGTTCAACAACATGAGTCGTCAGCTGTTAATGGGTTGTAGTGGGATGTTACTCAATTAAAAAAACAAAACACTCCATTATTATTATAACTCTGGAGTGTTGGGCAGTCTGATGACCACCCTCCCCCACAAAAACTCAATTGTTATAAAAATATATATTATTATTATTATTTATAACTCTAGAGTGTTTAGCAGTTTGATGATCACCTTGCCCCACAAAAGCTAGGGGGTGGGAGGAAAGATGAACTTGCCTCAAATCCAAATGAGCCTCTCACTGAAGCTCGACTCACTGAGAGATTGACTAATCCAATGCTTCTGCAGAGTGCATAGATAGCAAACAACACATGCCCTGAAGTTCTTCTCATACAGAAGCATTTTTTTTTCAAAGAGGAGAGGGGGTGGGGGGAGAGATTATTATAAAGATGGATGGTCTAATGAAATTTGTACACAACACATTAACCTAATGTACACTACTGTCACATACATATATGACAACAATGCTATGTAAATTCTTACGAGAAGTGAATGAAGCCAGAAGCTCCTCCCGGGAGACGGGAGCTTGACCAGTTGCCGTGTCCTTAGCAGTAAAATATGGACCAAGCGGATCATCTTCTGCAGAGCTCATAATTTCTCTTTCACCTTCTTCTTCTAGTGAGTGATTGGCTGTCGCACAATAAGGAGTGTGTTACTATGGATATTCATGTGTACATTGACAACACACTTCCAGTTTACCAACTTACCATCTTGATTATCATTTTCTAACATCCCTTCGATACCAAGCAGGGAATCTCTCCCCATGAATTGTAGAAACTCCTCCTCGTATGGAAACAAGCTAGGTTTTTGTGCATTGATACTTCCTGTATTCCTGGAGGCAGCTGCAGCTCTACACATCTTCTTCTTTACCATCCGCCTTATATCAGAATATCTGCAGTGGCATAGGTAGTGGGTGCATATATGTAAACATGGTTATATTTCACTGTAGATCAACATTGAAAAAATATTGAAAACGGACATGCTATCAAATTGAATGACAATGAATTTGATAGCTGATAACTGACATTAACATTCCAAAGTCAATTTCAGATACCACTTACAGTGGTATACATAAGGGCTATACATATGGCAAGGGCTATACATATGGCAAGACAGCACATGCATACAAAGTCCTAGCTGCACACGTGGGTGCTATTTACTAAAGCACATGGCAAGACAACACATTATTACAAAGGTGTAGGCATGCATTTGCATGAACTTACCGTTTCTTTACCACATCTAAAGTCCGATTATTCCCACCAGCAGCATTGACTGCATCAACTATTTCCATCCACAGATGATTTCTTTTAGATGATGTCGTTTTCTTGGCTGCTTCCCCCAAAATATAATTGTAATACTGGCAGAGTTTTGTGACTAGTGCTGCATTCTCCTCGGGGCAGAAACTTTGGGCATATTTCCTCTCAGAGCCTGTATGCAGACTCCTTGTTGACTTAAAAGTCCTGGGCTGCCTCTGCCTCTTTGTGCGTGTCCAACTTGTTGCATTCTGGCTACTACCCTCCATGGGTTCCATATCAGAAGAATTTGGGCTTGATACAGTGGCAGGCTAGATGTCAAGCTGGTTGTCTTGCTTGAACTGTCTGGCCTTCTGCCCTCTCCTACAGGCTGTTGCAATTTAAAGGGCATTAATTAGCTAATTTAGCAGTCTTTTCCTGCACCTCAATTGTTTTTTTTTCTCATTGTGATATATTGTTTAATTTGTCAATCATTATTGCATTTTTAAAGAGTTCTAAAAGTTATGATTGGTAACCGACCAAACAAATTCAGAACGACCAGATTCCATCATTCGGTTTGCATATTGTCTGAGCATTCTGTTGTGAACGTCAACCATGTGGACAAGCTGGAATAAGGAAACATATGAACATTATTTAGATTTTGCAGTCTGAATTCACCTGAACAGATCCAGTAAATTTCTCTTTGAAAATCTAGACCAGGGGCATTTACTACATTAAGCTTTGTTTTTGGCTTCTAACTAGACACAAGACAAAATAATATGTTATATTACTCTCCCTGTGTCTATACGGTTTCTGACTGGCCACTGCCCAGCATAAACAATGAGGTTTGTGC